TAGTGATCCGCCTCTTTACTACCTCCCAGGATCTGGGATTGTAGGTGCACATCACCACACCCAACCTCAATTCTCATTTCAGCATGCCCTGGGGGCAGGGCCAGCATAGCAGGCCCGGGGATCGAACCCTGCTTGAAGGCGCTTTAATCCGCTGAACTATTTGGCTGGCTCAGCAAATTATTTTAACCTGTGCAAATTGCATTACTTTGAAATGCTCTTAATTCATTGGTGAAGGCATCTCCTGATATAAGAGGAGGGTGTCAGATTCTCTCCCTTAGCCATTCACCCACAGTGCCAAATTGATAGCAGGGTAGAAGTTGAACAGTTCAGATCCTGGGGTGCACCAGTTTTAGACTTGGAAGAACTGATACCTATTTACTCCGGTGGTAATTCTGACATTAGTGACATTACAAGTGGTCAGAGGGCCCTGCCAGGTACAATTCGTGGTCGTAGGCTGTGTGTGTTGGGGAGGAGCAGGGCACCAAGGTCCATGTGGGCCTTGTAAAGGCTCAAAATGTGAGAAAAGAGGCTCACGGGAATGAAGGACAAGGCAGTGCAGCAGAGGACTCATGGCTGAGAAACATCGTCCAATTTGTCAATAGGCAGTGTGGGGGGGGGGCAGCTCAAGGGGAAGATACCCGTGCATCTTGGTGCTTTTCTTCTTCTCAGGGGAAAGCACAAACACAGTGTCTCACTATGACAAATTATGCAGTCGAGTTTCCCACATTTGGGGAAATTGCAGGGGTCAGCACACCTGGAGTGAGTGGATGAACCTCACCCTGGGAGAACAACCTTCACGATCATGGTATCTCCCCCCAGGTAAGCATACATATTGGGTTTTAATTATTTTTGCCTACCTTTCCCTGTCTTTCCATCTCCTCCAGCCCCAGGAAAGATTCCCCTCCTTTTCCACCGAGCACCTTCCTGTTTTCTATCACCTGTCTTTTACTTTGCTCTTTATTTGTATTTTGGGCATGTCATATAAAACAATCCAAGCAATACTTAACCTTCTGTGTCTGATTTATTTCATTAGCATTATGTAATAATTAGCTGTCACAAACGTATATGGATAAATAAAAAATCTTATATATAAGAAAGAGTAATGATACTGGCATAAGACTACCTGGGCAGAATTCTGGCTCTGCCACTTACCAGCTCTTGGTCATTCATTTAATCCCCACACCTTAGTTTCATAACATCTACTTCAAAAGGTTGTCATGAAAAGTTATAAGAAAATGCCTATGTCTTTCAGCATAGAGCACTCAGTACATGTCATTGTTGGCGTGGGGTTAGAGGTCATGGACATGGCCTTCAGGGGAAACTAATGGAGGATTTGAACATGGGAATGATAATTTTGTGGCACTGGGTGAATGCAATTGCATTTAGATGGAGACAGGAGAACATTTTGGAGGTCACGACAATGATCTGGGTATGAGGTAATTGGGTCATGGCTTGAATAATGTTAATGAGAATAAAAAGGAAAGGGTAAAAGTGACAGACATTTCCTGATTTAAAACTTTAGTAAATAAAGAGGAAAAAAGAGAGATATGAGTCAAAATGATATCTAGCTGTTGGTCTTGGCCTACTAAAATATTGGCACCCTTGAATAAAATGGAGATACTGGTTTTAGAAGAAGAATCTACCTGAGATCCATTTAGTACTCTCCAATGTAGTGGGCCACCTCCGTGGACCTCCCCAGGGGGCCATCAGAGCTATGCCTCCTCTAAAGAGAACTGACTACACTATTTGAAGCTTGATCCTGTGCTCCTCAAGTTTCTTTTGTGTTTTCCTTACATTTTTCTTTATCTCATACATCCTGTAGTGTTGCTTACTTAATATTTTACTTTAATTTGACTTAAACTGATTTATTTGGCTTCAACAAAGCTATAATATCTGTGAAATCTCTGGCTGTATGTGCTAGTTATAGTTTGTCTAATAGACATTAAAATAAAATTATGACTGTTAAAATAGAAATATTCATCCATATACTTCCTGAAATCATTCCCAGTGCCATCATTGTTATACATACATTTTCTGAAACAAGGATAAAAATGAAAATTAAAACTATATGAAGCACTGATTTTTCTCAAGGAAATAGAGTAGCCAAAAGACCAGAGAGCTAAAATAAGGGAGAAAACGTGACAAAGAAGCGAGTGTAAGAGAACCAAGATAGTATAATGTCATACCAATCGGCTGGTGGCACCACAACAACAGTGGTCATGAGAAAATGTCAAAGAAAGGGTGATAAACTTGCTAATATCTACTTCTTTCTTGTATTTAGGACAGGTCATACAGGGTATACAGCATCTCACTATGTAGATCGGATTCATAGCGATCCGCCTGTTTACAGCCTCCCAAGTGCTGGGATTATAGGCACATGCCACCACGCCTAGTTTCAATCTCTGGCTCAACACGCCCTGCTAGTGGGGCCAGCTGGCAGGCCTGGAGATCAAACCCCTGGTCCCTACACCTGCTTGCATGTCCTTTAATCTGCTGAGCTATTTGGCTGGCCCAACTTGCTAATATGTATAAGAACAAATTTTGAGAAATCAACAAAGTCTAGTATCAGATAGAGTTACAGGGGTGAGGTTCTGAATACATTTTGAAAGAAAGTCAGCCTACATAGTTTGCTGGAGGGTTTAACATGACATGTAAGCAAAACAAGTCTAGAGTCTCAGCAATGGGAATATTATACCCACTATTGGCCAAGATATTGTGACTATTAATTGTGATATATAAACTCTACTTGTTAAGAGATGCCAATGATTAGTAAAGCACTGCTCTGGGTGTGTCTGTGGGGTATTTCCAAAGATGACTGACATCCACCAGCAAACCCAGGGGGACAGAGTCACATAAGCTTGTAGCCTGAATGGAATAAATGGGTTTCAGTTACTCTTTTATCTCTGGCACAGAATACCTAACACCCACAACTTAAAAACAGAGAAGGTTATTCTGGCCACGGTGTCAGTCTGCAGTTGATTGGCTCCTTGGCAGAAAGAGAATAGCAGAGAAACATGGCAGAGAAAGTGTTTGACCTGTGACATCCTGGAAGCAGAGAGAGAGAATGAAAGAGCTGGGGACAATTGTACACTTCCCAAATCACTTCTCCAGTGACCTGTCTCTTTTGACCAGGTCCTACCTCTCAGTAGCATATTTAGTTATTGACCTAATTCACAGATGAATTCCTTGATGTGTAGAGCACCCTGTGATTCGGTGATCGTCCAAACAACACACGGCACTTGGGTGGGACATCTAAGATCTGAACCATAAGAGGGAAACAAGGGGGGAGTTGGCATTCAGTTTGAAGAGCTCTGCTCTGCCTGAGTCGGTGTGTCTTTTGCTGAAGTCACCATTTCTTCATGGCTTCACCAAATATTCAGAACAGTGGTCCTCCAGGTTGCTTCCAAAGATGACTGTTTTCAGACTGGTACTGCATCCTTGATTCCTTTTGTTCCACAACTTCCAACTTCCTGGACTGAACAGCGGCATATTCTCTTACTTTCCATTGCACAGATGATTATTGGTTTGGTAAGCCTATCTAATAAATTTCTTTGCATAATTATATATAATATAATACTACATATAATATAATACAATGTATAATTATAATAGAATTATATAATAGTACAGTATAATAAAATAGTGATTTATAATGTTAGATATACAACATATAGAGAAACCTGACCAATACAGATATGGAAGATCGCAGACGATTCAAGTTCGGAGGAAATCAAGAATTCCAGTTTGGAAATGTCAAATTTAAGATAGATATTTGCTTTTCTGAGAGGGGTTTCACAGAAGACAGCAGGTTAAATGGACCTGAAGTCTGTGACTTGTCAAGGGATAAAACATGTGGACTTCAAAATCTAGATCACTCTGTCTAAATTCACAACACCACATGATTTATGGTCCAAGAGAGCTTTGGCTCGTTCATTCAATGTAACAAATACCAAGTCTTAGTGGCTCATGCCTTCAAGTTTTTCTGGGTCCTACTACATACACAGAAACCAGAGATGAGGGCACATACAGATTACAAAGCAGTGATGATCACAATCACCAAGGTAGCAGATTTATACATTCACTTGTACATTCAGAACTTGTGGGGACGGCCAGCCTAATAGCTCAGTGGATTGAAGAGCCTGCACAGGCAGATGCAGCCACTGGAGTTCCAATCTCGGCCTGCTGTGCCAGCCCCACCCCCTGGACGCTCTGATATAACAATTGAGATTGGGTGTGGTGGCTCGTGCCTGTAATCTCAGCTCTTTGGGAGGCTGAACACAGGTGGATCACTATGAGTCCAATCTATGTAGTGAAACCCTGTAGACCCTGTAGGCATTTACAAAAAAAAAAAAAAAAAAAAAAAAAAAAAAAAAAAAAAAAAAAAAAAAAAAAAAAAAAAAAAAAACTTGAGGGGATGAGAAGGTCCAGTTTCCTAGAAATCGAAAGAAACTTTCATCAATTGCATTGAAAAGATTTAGAGAACCATTGGCAAAGATGAGAAAGTTGTCAAACCCCCCAAAATGAAATGAAATAGAAAAGAGAGGAAAAGAGTCAGAGAGGTATGTTAAGAGGTCATGTTCATAGAGCTGGGGAGATGGATCAGTAGAATAAGTGGTCGCCTGGCAAGTGCAAGGTCCTGAGTTCAATTCCCAGTACCAAAAAAATAAAAAAGAAATGGTCATGTTCAGTATGTTTCATCAAATAGAAACACCTAAGACAAGTCATAAACACAGGGACTTAGCTCCAACTTTTGAGGATCAAACAAGGACTTGGGTTAGAACGTAGTTATCAACTTGTATCATATTGGCAAGCCTCCTTACCTCAGTTTTCCTGACCTGAAAATAGGCCTACTGAGTAGAAGAAATAACATGCTACCCAGGACAGGTCATGTGATACTCATTCATATGGTATCTACTGTCATCACGAATTACTACAGTCATCTTGGGAAACTGTGTGGCAGCCTCTGTAAAAGCTAAACAGATACATAGTGTATCATCCACTAATTATAGCCTTACTCTGCTAAGCACTATTTTATCACTGTGACAGAAATACTTGGGACAACAAACTTGGAAAGAGGAAAGGTTGACTTTGGTTCACAGTTTCAGAGGTTTCACTCCATCACCACTTGGTTATGTTGCTTTGGTTTGGTGGAGGCCAAGTGTAATCTGGTGGACACATACAGTGAAGGAGTCCTGTTCATCCCCTGGCACCTAGAAAGCAAAAAGAGAGAGGAAGGGGTAGGGGGTCTTGTATCCCCTTCAAAGGCACAACTCCAGTGATCTCCTTTCCTTCCACTGGCCTTGTCTCCTGGAGGTTCTGCCACTTCTTGATAGGACCATGGGCTGGGTCCAAGCTTTAACACATAGGTCTTTGGGGAATATTCCAGATCCAAACTATGATGCCTATGTATATACCCAAGAGACCTGCAAACATGTCCCTCTAAAAAGCATGTCCTAGATGTTATGGCAGCACAATTTATGAAGAGCCCAAATAAGAAACAATTCAAATGCCAACAGTAGAATGTATAAATGAGTTGTGGTATAGTCATGCAATGATACTATACAGCAATAAAAATGAATAATGTAAAACAACACTCTGAGTGAATCTCATAACATTACATTGAGTGAAAGAAGACAGACACTTAAAGATTGTGTTCTGCAGGATTCTATCTACATAAAGGCAAAAACAGGTAAGATCAAGCTCTGCTGGTAAAAGTTAGGACAACTGCTACTCCGGGGAGGGGAAGAATGAACTACTGAAAGGAGCAAATGGGGATGTTTAATTTATAATAAGCCACATACTTATTACATGTGCATTTTCACTGACA